TCCAGATTATAAACAACAGGAAATGAGAAAAGGTTCGTGGATAGCACTTTCAAAAGAATTTGGCAAAAAGGTTGATGATATCAAAAAGAAGATAAAACATTTACGCACCTGTTATATGGCAGAAAAGAAGAAAGTGGAAAGTAGAACTGATAGCAACGGTGATCCGATATATGAGTCGCATTTGTACTACTACAAACAAATGAGTTTCTTGGATCCTGTAATCATAAAAAAACCACCGGAGCAGGTGCGTGGTATCTGAACAAATGTTTGATTTAAGCATATTAAGATTTTATAATTTACGTATTTTGTAGCCTACAATGAGCAACAGGGTTGTGTTAAATCAAAAGGTAATTTATATGCTTGTACAAATATAACTAATAATACATGTTTTGCCCCTGCAGAGAGGACGTTCAGTTTCTACTGATTCCGAAAAAGAGGAGCCACAGCGAGAATTACGAACCTCGGTATGATTTCCATACGTACATATAGTTAAGAAACCTCGATTCATTAGTTTACTAAAACTTTATTTTTTATTTGCAGATTACGCGTTTAGATTCCACCAATCCTGCTTTCAGGGCAACTCTGAGGTTCAACCCAATACAAACTGTACGCTTTTCAACACAGTCTTTTTCTTTATTTACTCTACTATTCTTGAATTTTAGGCAAAGTATGGATTGCACCAACAGAAGCTACGTTCACTTTCTCCAGATTCCGAGAAAGAGGAGACGCAGCAGGAATTAAACACCTCGGTATGTTATTCATATGTATGAATATTTGGGAAATCTCGATTCATTCGTGTTGTTGTTGTTGTAGCGGCTTTCTTTAACATTGCTTTTAATTTCAGATCAGTCGTTTAGACTCCACCAATTCTCCAAAGGCACATCCGCGTTTCATTTCAAAATCCACTGTACGACTCGCAAAACTGTGTTTTTTCCTTATTTACTCCAACATTCTTAATTTTTAGGTAAGACGCACGAATGATGTTCCAAAGACGCAGCCACCAAAAAAAGATAGTAAAACACTCAATGCTTAGTAAGGAAGACACATTCTGTGCGATGCTTTGCAGCGAACTTAAACTACTGAAATCAGATGAAACGTATGATAATGTGACTTCAGATATTTTTGCAGCAGTAAGGAGCGCCAAAATTGCCGAGCGGCAAATGGAATTGGAGAGGCTTTAACATATTAATATGTATAGAGTACCATTTAGCCATTTTATTTTTATATTCCCATTTGATTTACAAAAACTTCTAAGCCATTGTGACATTATTACACACCTAGTAATATGAGAACATTAAAACGTAAAGTGCAAATTTAAACAGACTCCTGATAATAATAGATTTATTACTGATGAATGCAATATACCAGTCGTACTGTGATTGCAGAGAAAAGAAGCTGGCACGCAAAACTACCTTGAGGAAAAGTGTCAACTATCAAGTTACAGTTTAAAAAGTCAAAAATACAAAATTTGTATAAAAAACGGATTACCAATTATTAGTCGACTCAAAATTTGAAAAAAATGACTATTTTAACAAAACCATCGAATGAAAAAACGGCTGAAAAGGTTCCTCTACCATTGACGTTGGGTGGACACGATAATGCACCATCATTCCGAGGAGGCGTGACACCTGAAACTCTTTTGAGCCAATCGCCCTACCATCGATACGTTGATGGCGAACCTATGATTTGCAATCGCCCGCCTGGATCGTGCAGGAAGTCAGTGTTGTTATTCCTCATCACTGTTGTGGTCATTGTGATCGGCCTTATTGGCGGATACACCCTGTATCGCACATATTCATCTACTGGTTCGAATATACACTACCGTGCACTTTGCCACATTCCATACGTGGCGACTGGCAATAAAAGTGTGCAACGTCTCTACGAACAAAACAATGAGCTGGACCGGTATAATCTGTTCTCACGCCTTACAAACTTCAATGGTTATAAGGCTTTGGATGATGATTACTTCCGTGAAGAAATCGAGTTGGATATGAGCGATAATGAAAGCTACGCTAAGATTGATGTGCCCGATTTTAAGGGAGGACGGCGGGGATGTTTTATGCACGATTTCAAGGAGAATCAGTCGGCGATCATTGATACTGCAGCAAACCGTTGTTTCGTTATGCCACTGGATCGTGACACAACACTACCACCAGAGAGTTTCCTTGATTTGGTACAAAAGATGGGTGCGGGCTATTACAACATCGACACCAATCGCGTTCGTCGCAACATGCATGTTGTCACGCCGCCTATTACTGATCTCTCAATGATCTCTGAGCGAATCGCTAACGAATGTGACCACATGAAAGTCTATATGCTTGAGAATTACGTTCCCAGAGTATTCAAGCGCGATGTTAAAACCCTGGCGGATTCCGGCAAGTTCACGGCATTCATGGGGAAAGGTGTCGTAGAATTCAATTTGATAAATATATGTGATATAGAACAGTTTGAAAAGAAGCAACAGTAATTGGCGATTTCAGAGATTGCAGGCATAGCTTGTAGTTTAGTTTATGATAGTAAAACTTGATATTAATGCATTTACTATTTAGCCTATTTAAGGGCGAGATCAATTTTTTTTCATAGGCTTGCATAATCCAAGACGTGATGCAATAACTACCTTTTTTTAGAAAGCCGTGAGTGAAAAATATTCGAAGTCCTCATAAATTTAACTGTATTGTTCGTGGGTTTTCTTATTGTACCCAGTTGTATTTTGAAAATAAATTTAAAATGGCAATCAAAACTTAAAAAAATTCGTTATCAAATTTGAACCACAAACATGGTCCAAATCTGCAAATACTAGTTATTGTCCATTGGGATCCTAAACTAAAATGGATTATGGCTACGGTGACCATTTTAACCAACGTAAAATAAAGGACATTTTTCAAAATGATTTGGGAATACATACATACAGCTTGTATGATAAAAGTACTTTCCCATATCGTAATTTAACTCAAATATTTACCAGTTAATTAACCGATTTAGAAAAATGAAGCCAAATCCTTTTCAAGGACTTCGCCATCCTTTGCTGCCAAAACGCGTTTACCATAATTCATACTGCACGCCAAAGCCAGCACACAGAGGTACAAAATTGGAATTTAATATTCATAATTCTTCGGAGCCTTGATTTTTCAACCAATTTTTACTAAAAACCAAAAAAATATATATATTTAGTTTGGTGAACATTTTTTATAACATTTCAAACATTCTTTTTTTGTGTAATTTTTTCGTTTTAAAAGAACCGTACAATTGTTTTCAACTAGTTTTTGTTATGTAACATTTAATAACTGGAACTGGAGAATAAATTTTTTTTAAATTGCCACTTTTTTGCATTTTGCGCCAAAAAAGTTATTATGATCAAATAAAAGTTCACAAATTAGGCCCAACTGATCTCTTGCAAATATTGCAAGCTTTCATAAAAAAAAAGTTAATCAAATTAAGTGACAAATGAAGGCTCCAGGAACCATTGTGCCACAGGGGGTTTATTGTTCACTTTCAGTGGAACTGGAAACTCGGCGTGCAACACGATCCTGGACACAACTTTCCCTGCGCTTAATAGATTGTACAAAGATTACTGATTAAATATAAATCCTTAAGTTGGGTGCGAAACAAACTGAGGAAGGTTTTCTTTACATTTTATAAGGGACATTTTTATTTTTCATATTCTGTGTTTAAAAATTTACCTCTGAAAAATGCAGAGCTGATTTAAAGGACAGTTTAAGAAATAAAGGACAAAAGGCGTCCTTTATTTCTTAAACTGTCCTTTAAATCAGCTCTGCATTTTTCAGAGGTAAATTTTTAAACACAGAATATGAAAAATAAAAATGTCCCTTATAAAATGTAAAGAAAACCTTCCTCAGTTTGTTTCGCACCCAACTTAAGGATTTATATTTAATCAGTAATCTTTGTACAATCTATTAAGCGCAGGGAAAGTTGTGTCCAGGATCGTGTTGCACGCCGAGTTTCCAGTTCCACTGAAAGTGAACAATAAACCCCCTGTGGCACAATGGTTCCTGGAGCCTTCATTTGTCACTTAATTTGATTAACTTTTTTTTTATGAAAGCTTGCAATATTTGCAAGAGATCAGTTGGGCCTAATTTGTGAACTTTTATTTGATCATAATAACTTTTTTGGCGCAAAATGCAAAAAAGTGGCAATTTAAAAAAAATTTATTCTCCAGTTCCAGTTATTAAATGTTACATAACAAAAACTAGTTGAAAACAATTGTACGGTTCTTTTAAAACGAAAAAATTACACAAAAAAAGAATGTTTGAAATGTTATAAAAAATGTTCACCAAACTAAATATATATATTTTTTTGGTTTTTAGTAAAAATTGGTTGAAAAATCAAGGCTCCGAAGAATTATGAATATTAAATTCCAATTTTGTACCTCTGTGTGCTGGCTTTGGCGTGCAGTATGAATTATGGTAAACGCGTTTTGGCAGCAAAGGATGGCGAAGTCCTTGAAAAGGATTTGGCTTCATTTTTCTAAATCGGTTAATTAACTGGTAAATATTTGAGTTAAATTACGATATGGGAAAGTACTTTTATCATACAAGCTGTATGTATGTATTCCCAAATCATTTTGAAAAATGTCCTTTATTTTACGTTGGTTAAAATGGTCACCGTAGCCATAATCCATTTTAGTTTAGGATCCCAATGGACAATAACTAGTATTTGCAGATTTGGACCATGTTTGTGGTTCAAATTTGATAACGAATTTTTTTAAGTTTTGATTGCCATTTTAAATTTATTTTCAAAATACAACTGGGTACAATAAGAAAACCCACGAACAATACAGTTAAATTTATGAGGACTTCGAATATTTTTCACTCACGGCTTTCTAAAAAAAGGTAGTTATTGCATCACGTCTTGGATTATGCAAGCCTATGAAAAAAAATTGATCTCGCCCTTAAATAGGCTAAATAGTAAATGCATTAATATCAAGTTTTACTATCATAAACTAAACTACAAGCTATGCCTGCAATCTCTGAAATCGCCAATTACTGTTGCTTCTTTTCAAACTGTTCTATATCACATATATTTATCAAATTGAATTCTACGACACCTTTCCCCATGAATGCCGTGAACTTGCCGGAATCCGCCAGGGTTTTAACATCGCGCTTGAATACTCTGGGAACGTAATTCTCAAGCATATAGACTTTCATGTGGTCACATTCGTTAGCGATTCGCTCAGAGATCATTGAGAGATCAGTAATAGGCGGCGTGACAACATGCATGTTGCGACGAACGCGATTGGTGTCGATGTTGTAATAGCCCGCACCCATCTTTTGTACCAAATCAAGGAAACTCTCTGGTGGTAGTGTTGTGTCACGATCCAGTGGCATAACGAAACAACGGTTTGCTGCAGTATCAATGATCGCCGACTGATTCTCCTTGAAATCGTGCATAAAACATCCCCGCCGTCCTCCCTTAAAATCGGGCACATCAATCTTAGCGTAGCTTTCATTATCGCTCATATCCAACTCGATTTCTTCACGGAAGTAATCATCATCCAAAGCCTTATAACCATTGAAGTTTGTAAGGCGTGAGAACAGATTATACCGGTCCAGCTCATTGTTTTGTTCGTAGAGACGTTGCACACTTTTATTGCCAGTCGCCACGTATGGAATGTGGCAAAGTGCACGGTAGTGTATATTCGAACCAGTAGATGAATATGTGCGATACAGGGTGTATCCGCCAATAAGGCCGATCACAATGACCACAACAGTGATGAGGAATAACAACACTGACTTCCTGCACGATCCAGGCGGGCGATTGCAAATCATAGGTTCGCCATCAACGTATCGATGGTAGGGCGATTGGCTCAAAAGAGTTTCAGGTGTCACGCCTCCTCGGAATGATGGTGCATTATCGTGTCCACCCAACGTCAATGGTAGAGGAACCTTTTCAGCCGTTTTTTCATTCGATGGTTTTGTTAAAATAGTCATTTTTTTCAAATTTTGAGTCGACTAATAATTGGTAATCCGTTTTTTATACAAATTTTGTATTTTTGACTTTTTAAACTGTAACTTGATAGTTGACACTTTTCCTCAAGGTAGTTTTGCGTGCCAGCTTCTTTTCTCTGCAATCACAGTACGACTGGTATATTGCATTCATCAGTAATAAATCTATTATTATCAGGAGTCTGTTTAAATTTGCACTTTACGTTTTAATGTTCTCATATTACTAGGTGTGTAATAATGTCACAATGGCTTAGAAGTTTTTGTAAATCAAATGGGAATATAAAAATAAAATGGCTAAATGGTACTCTATACATATTAATATGTTAAAGCCTCTCCAATTCCATTTGCCGCTCGGCAATTTTGGCGCTCCTTACTGCTGCAAAAATATCTGAAGTCACATTATCATACGTTTCATCTGATTTCAGTAGTTTAAGTTCGCTGCAAAGCATCGCACAGAATGTGTCTTCCTTACTAAGCATTGAGTGTTTTACTATCTTTTTTGGTGGCTGCGTCTTTGGAACATCATTCGTGCGTCTTACCTAAAAATTAAGAATGTTGGAGTAAATAAGGAAAAACACAGTTTTGCGAGTCGTACAGTGGATTTTGAAATGAAACGCGGATGTGCCTTTGGAGAATTGGTGGAGTCTAAACGACTGATCTGAAATTAAAAGCAATGTTAAAGAAAGCCGCTACAACAACAACAACACGAATGAATCGAGATTTCCCAAATATTCATACATATGAATAACATACCGAGGTGTTTAATTCCTGCTGCGTCTCCTCTTTCTCGGAATCTGGAGAAAGTGAACGTAGCTTCTGTTGGTGCAATCCATACTTTGCCTAAAATTCAAGAATAGTAGAGTAAATAAAGAAAAAGACTGTGTTGAAAAGCGTACAGTTTGTATTGGGTTGAACCTCAGAGTTGCCCTGAAAGCAGGATTGGTGGAATCTAAACGCGTAATCTGCAAATAAAAAATAAAGTTTTAGTAAACTAATGAATCGAGGTTTCTTAACTATATGTACGTATGGAAATCATACCGAGGTTCGTAATTCTCGCTGTGGCTCCTCTTTTTCGGAATCAGTAGAAACTGAACGTCCTCTCTGCAGGGGCAAAACATGTATTATTAGTTATATTTGTACAAGCATATAAATTACCTTTTGATTTAACACAACCCTGTTGCTCATTGTAGGCTACAAAATACGTAAATTATAAAATCTTAATATGCTTAAATCAAACATTTGTTCAGATACCACGCACCTGCTCCGGTGGTTTTTTTATGATTACAGGATCCAAGAAACTCATTTGTTTGTAGTAGTACAAATGCGACTCATATATCGGATCACCGTTGCTATCAGTTCTACTTTCCACTTTCTTCTTTTCTGCCATATAACAGGTGCGTAAATGTTTTATCTTCTTTTTGATATCATCAACCTTTTTGCCAAATTCTTTTGAAAGTGCTATCCACGAACCTTTTCTCATTTCCTGTTGTTTATAATCTGGACTTTGAGTGTTCCATAAGCACTCATATTGCCTATATGAGTCTAAAAGTTTTAAAATTTCTGTATGGCGCCAATCCATTTTGCAAAGTTATTTATTGCTTTAAGTTTTCAAGTTTCCTGCTTATTTTATCTGCAGCTATGCGTAGACACTTGGTAAACACTGTAGAAATTTATTGAAATTTGTGTGCGCGTGTGTTTGTGTTCCACTGCAAATTATTCGCAGTACACCATATATGTTAGCAATTTTGTCTAGAACCCACGCGCAGCAAATAAAAACAAATCTATACACAAAAAATATAATTTTGATAGCACTTGAGTGAGATTTTTATAGTTTTGCTTTGCAATTTATGCAAAAAGTCGCTTGCCCTGAATAATTCGCAATATGTTGTGAGCTGATGGCGGAAATGACAGCTCGCTCGTGGAACGACAAGAATTAGTAAGTGTCTGTTTACACTAACAATCGATTATGTTCCTGAGCAAGCAATACTCTAGAGCTGTCATTTATTTCGTATGACGGCAAAGTCTGTAAGTAAAAGCTATTTGTTTATGTATTTTTAGTAAAAATATTAAAAAGTTGTCCGCTATGGAATAGTAATTCTCTTTGTAGATATTTTCTCCATAAACATGGGCATTGGTATATTTCTATCTATATATAATTGTATCGGTAGTAAAATCGATGGTATCGATGGTCGATTGATTTTTTATAAAAGTGACATCGACTGAAACGTGTCAAAAGCAAGGCGAATTTATACAAGGTGGTGTTGCTAGAAATTGCCGCGGTCCTTCTGAATGACAAAATGATGTGTTTGTAGTATTTTTGTGGTACTTGTTTTGTGTGTTTTGTATTGCGGGTGTTATGTAAAAGCTCAACGCCCCAAAGTTTACATGTATTTTGTTTTTGCTTTTGGTGGGGGTGCTGTCAAATTAGTAAAACCAAAAACAAATTACATGTAAGACGAAGAATTTATACAAGGTAGTGTTGTTAGATCAGCTGATTTCTTCGCCTTA